TTTATTCATGTGCAAAGGTAATGCCCTCCTATTTTTTAATCCCTTTTGCAATCCCTCCTTTGGATTGCCTCCAAATTATCCCTTTCTATATTTAGAGATAGGTGAGCCATGTGGGGCTGGAGAGGAAATTGTGCTGGGGAGATGGCAGATGTAGAGATGAGTTTCAGGAATGCAAGAGGGACTGGGGCCAAAAAGTGCCGTGTGTAAGGATTTGTCAGGGCTACGTGGAGCAGAAAGTTGGATCCCCAGAGAATCAGGGCTTTAATGAGCCTGCTTGTACCCAGGAACCCTGACAGGACATCAGTGAAGGGAAACACCAGGAGGTCAGGGGGCAAAAGTGGCATCAGAGACGTGACAGCAAGATTGAAGCAGTTTGGATGTGCTGTGATGGCAGAAATCAGAGGAACAGAAAGTTTTGGGCACTGGGAGAGAGAAGGAAAATCCTGGAGTTTTATCCACAGTCCTCATGATTCCATTGCACTTACCAGAAGGTTAAAATGGGAAATCTGAAGTTTAGCCTTATACCTTTTCCTTAGCTGCTTCAGCCCTGTGCAGGATAATATGAATTTAAGTTTGATGATTCCCAGTCCAGGTTCCAAGACCATTGCTTTTCCTATGGGTGTCACAACCTTTACATCATCTGAAAGAACAGGTTTTGTGTTTTATGTGCCCAAAGGCTGCCCATAAAGGTTGGCAAGGGGAGTTGGCTAAGTCTGCACAAGGTCAGTGAGGATGTCCAATAATTGTCCTAACACTTTACCTGTTATGGAGCAATAATGAGAGGTTTTTTTCATTATTTTCGGGTGAGTGAGCCTGGCAGATGCTGACAGGCAGCAGATGTGTAAAGTTCGAGGTGATTTGTAAGGGACTGGCTCATCTGACGCATGGTAATTGCATTGTGGGACATTGTCACTCAGCCCCGTGTCCTGCTCCAGCAGAACGAGGTAAAGGTCAGTTCAAAGAGCTGCTGAGGCACCAGGGGCAGCTCAGGGCTGAAATTAAACCCCTCACATCCACTTCTCCCCTGGGCAGGTGCTCACAGCATGCCCAGGGCCAGGTGGGTGCCCCAGGTGTAGATTTGGGGATTGTTTGGGTGACCAGGTGTTTGTTTGGATCTGGAGTGGGCTTAAATCCCTCCTCTGATAAGGCTGGCGTGGTAGCTCAGTGCTCACCTCTTCACTTTTAATTTGGGGCTAGGAAGTTGTTTTTTGTGACTTTTTCCTTCAGTGCCTGTGTGCTGTGGCAGCTCCCCGGCAGAACAGGCCCTGGCAGCAGAGTGACACACAGCTGGAGGGGACAGTGGCCTCTCCATCTGCTCCCTGCTGCCAACTCTGTTCTGCCATCCCCTCCAAGAAGGGCTCTGACAAGTTTCTTTTGCCACTTTAGCTGAGTTTGGCATTTGTCACACCCTGGAGGGGCAGAAGCTGCTCTGCCTCGCTCAGGTGAAGCTCCCCTGTTCCTGCTCTCAGGGTATGAGCAGTGATGTTGGAAATTGAGTGGATTTGGTGGAAAAAGTGGATTTGTCTGATGCTGAGCCTGCTGATGGCCTCAAACAGTGAGGGAGAGGCAGCCTTAGGATGTCCCAGGTACCTGGGCTGTGCTGGTCCCTGCAGCATGGGGAGCAGTGCTGCCTGTCCACGTGCTCTCATCAGCATCGATTTTCCTGGTGTTTGAGTGGGATCTTTATCACAGCCATGATGTGTGGAAGTCAGCTGAAGGCCTGATTGACTGGGTTTCCTGGGTGTGCCTGTGCTTCTGTAATGGACCTGCTGATAAATCTGTAATACGCCGGGGATCTTGATAAAACCTGTGTCGTGTATTTCATCTCCTGCTGCCTCATTCTTCTGCTCTTGCAGGTACCTAATCCCATGCTCTTTATCTTATAGGACATCACAAATCTTGTTCTTTATTCTTCTCTTGACATCTCCATGCCTGCCAGCAGTGGGCCTTGCTTTGCTGGGAGTGTGAGCAGTGGGGTCAGTTCAGAGGCTGGAGGTTTCCCTTGAAGCCTTGCAGCCCTGCAGACTCACTGAGCAAAGCATCACACTTGTGAGACACAGACCTTCAAGCCACTTCTTTTAGTCTCTCCATGTGCAAAACCTGCCAGGCCAGGGATACTGAATGAGAGTTTTGCTGTAAATGTGATTGGAGACAGGTTTTGCCCCATGTTGGTAAAAGTTCTCCCTAATTATTTAAGCTCAGAGTTAACAGTTGTTTGTTGGCCTGCAGGCTCTGCTCACCATTCCTGTGCTGAGCATCCAGGGATGGATTCATCCCAGTGTGTGAGATACTGAATATACAGGTGAGTGTGGCTGTTCTGTGCAGGACTTGGCAGAATTTACAGGGCTCTTTTCAAAGATGTTAATTGGGAAGGAAAAGGTGACTTTTCATTGGAAAGGTATTTTTGTAGAAACAAGTCTTCTCTAGACTTTTGTGGATTTTTTTCATTCAGTGTTTCAGGATATTTTTAAAAGTCCTTTCCATGTGTCACCAGAGGACTCCCAATTTTTTGTCCAGCCTGGCCTCTTTGTAGACCCAATCCTGAACATTTCCTGAGCTCATTTGTTGGGGTGGTACTTGCTTGTGGCCACAAAGGCATGAACCAGTCTGGGATGTGTCCAGATTCCTGCTTTGCTCCTTCCTTTCAGAAGTGTCACTCTGGTTTCCATCCAAAATGCTGAGAAAGAAGTAAAATTTGTAGTACAGGAAAACTGAATCTGTGCTTTCACCAAGCTGACCTGTGAGGGTGCTGCTTTGTCTGTGCAGGTCTGTGGTTGGTGTTGTCCCTGGATTCCTTATGCTGACCTTTAGGAAGAGAAAAAGCAGATTCTAATTCAATAAATGTCTGCTTCCAGGCAATTGTGATTCGTGGGACTTTTTTTTTTCATCTAAGAGTGTGCAGGGAGGCTTTGCACTTAGAATAGTTTTTTTTTTTACCCATGGCACACTCTATTAAAGTTTGTTGTGTATCCAAATTATGCTGCTTTGCTTTTTAACTCCAGCTGAAGCCGTGTCTCAAATAACAGATGTGGAATATTGTCATCCCACTGTCACACCGATTGTTCATTGTTCTGAGAAGGTCACATCATAATTCATTAACAATAATTATTCCCTGGGTACACCCTGCACTTCTTCACTCAATTGCTCCATTAACTTGAGAGTGAATCTCACATTCAGTGCTCCAATCAATGAAGATATATTTATAATGTACAAGTGGATGATATTAGTTACAATATATTAACTGCCTAATTTAAAAGAGAAAAGCTATCTTTATGAAGGGCAATTAACCACTAAGTGTAATTGATAATTCACATATCTATGATTAGGAAAGACAAATAATAAGAAAGAAATGAATCACCAGCATTATTAAAGAAGGCACTGGTGTGCAGTTTTGATGAGCAGAAGGTGCTCTCTGGGTCAGGACCAGATTTCCAAGAATCCTTTGATGGAGAGTTCATCCTCAGATCTGTTGTCTCGAGGTGGCTTTGGTGTTTGCACCAACCAAGTGGGATCATCTTCCCTACAAAATGGACCCAGCATGTTTTGTTGTCTTGAGAATCAGTGCAGGGACTTCCTTAATAGGAAAGTCCTTTTTCATTGTAATACAAAGAAGAGTCATAATATTTTATAAAAATTTATAAAACTGGTTCCAGACTTACCTAAGTATCTGAATCTACATGTGCTCAGGTCCTCAAAAATGATTTTGCACAAATTCACATGAAAACTGACAAAAAGTGGGCATTTTCATGTATTAGAGGAGCTGAGTGAAAGTCCCTCAGGCAAATGTTTATTTTTTATTAATTGTGGTACATTTTCAGTGCTTCTGATTTTCTGTGGCCGCTTTGAAGTACATTGGGTCTCCAAACAGCTGAAAGCTCATCCTTGGGGAAGAGGCTTTTTGGGGACATCCACAGCAGGTCACCAGCTTGGGAAACAAAGCTGCTCAGAGGCAGAGGGCTTGCAGGGGATTCACAGAGTGGTTTGGGCTGGAGGGGACCTAAAAGACCCCATTCCACCCCCTGCCACGGCAGGGACACCTTCCACTACCCCAGGTTGCTCCAAGCCTGGCCCAACCTGGCCTTGGATGCTTCAGGAATGGGGCAACAACAAACTTTTGCACAGTACCAGTCCACAGGAGCCATGTCCTTGGCTCTGGACACTTGTGGCCATGTTTCTTCCCCTGAGAAGCCAATTACCTGTAAATATTTATTAATTAATCAGTTTAAGTGCCAGATTTTTTGGGATTATCCACCAAGTAACAGCACAGGTGTTTTATGAGAGATTTAATGATTAATGTGACTGGATCCACCCCAATGTTGGTAAAACATCATTGAACCAACTGGCAGCTGCAGTGCCCAGAGTCGGGATTTCAGGTACATCCAGTCACAGCAAAGGATCCTGTAGGTTTTCCCTCTCCACGCAGCCCCTGGAAGAATCTGACTAGCTCAGAGATAAGGGGCTGTGAGGGGAGGAATACCAGGAGAGGGGAAAAATATTCAAAAGAGGCTCTTACCCCAGGGAAGTTGGTTGGTACAGCTCTCTTTATTCTGTGGTGTCCATGGGAGAGTGGGGCAAAAGAGAAAGAACAGGAAATGTCAGGGGGTCTATATAGGTTTTGGACAGGGTGGGCTTTCCTGGCTCTCCGCCAACCCCGTTGGGGCAGAAAGGAGGGATCCAGGGGTTATCAGGATCCTGCTGGATTCCTGGTTTGGAATATCATCTTCACCTTTTCAACAGAATTCACAGAATCACCAGGCTGGAAGAGACCTTCGAGATCATCGAGTCCAACCCAGCCCCAACTCCTCATGGTGTTGCCTCATTCAATCTTTTATCAAACACACACAGGGATGATGACTCCACCACCTCCCTGGGCAGCCATTCCAGAACTTTATCACACTTTCCACATAAAACTTTTTTCTGATATCCAACTTAAATTTCCCTTGACGCAGCTTGAGTCTGACACTTGTCTCATTTCCTTCATCTGCTTATCTCCTCCACAGGATCAAAGCCTCTGGGCTGAAGCTGCAGCTCTGCACCAACGAGACGCAGGCGACGCGGGAGAATTTTGTGCGGAAGCTGCGGGCCATGGGCTTCGACATCTCGGCGGCCCAAGTGACGGCGCCGGCGCCGGCCGCCTGCCGCCTCCTGAGGGAGCGCGGCCTGAGGCCACACCTGCTGGTGCACGATGGTGGGACAGCACTGGGGGCACTGGGAGGGTGGGGAATTGCTCTTTTCCTCTTTGTTTTAGGCTAGATGAGTAGGTGTCTTGGTTTGAAAAGACAGGAGTCTGTGAAGGAAGGCAAAAGCCTCCTGTGAAATGGAAAATGTAAACCCCCTCCCTCCCAATTACCACAATTTAAAAAAAACGCTCTCAGGAAAAGATATGGGAATGGGAGTAACAGTTCTTTACTAGGAGAAAAACTAAATAAAAATAATAATAAAAAAATGTAATTAGTACAAATAAAACTAGTGATGGAGTCAGAAACCTGACACCCTGAGGAGTCAGGGTGTTGGTAATAGTCCAGTTAAATGGTGGCTGCTCCTCCTGGAGTGGCAGATGAAATGCTGCTGAAGTGGTGATCTCTAGAAGGGTGCAGTTTTCTCTGAAGGTCTGGTAGTAGTTGGGCCTGGTCTTCCTCTGGGAATTCAGCAGATAAAAAGCTGCTTCTCTGGGAATCCAGCGAAATGGCTGACCAGTGTCTCAAAAAGCGCTGATTTTATGCAGGTAGGGCTGCTTGGCTCCTCCCTCTGGGTGGAGCATCTCACAATGGGATGATGGAACTTTACTGGTCATGCAGTGAGTCATTTAATAGTCCATTAACAGAAGATATCTCCCTGGAGGGAGGCATTGTTCTTGGAAGAGTAAGAAAACTGCCCCACCTCCAACAGATGGCAATAGAATACATGCTTATCTTAAGAGCCAGGACAGTAGGTATTTGTAGAGCACTTGATTCAGACCGAGATTTATTTATTTTTTCATGTGTTGTCATGGGTGAAGGGAAGCACCGATATGGGGAAATGCTGTTGCTTCCATGGGGTCTGAAATGGTGAGGTGATGGAGCCCTGGGCGCTGAGAATTGCAGACTTTCTGTGCTGACAGGCACTGACCCCCAGGAGAACTCTGCATTTGACCTGAGGCCATGGAGAATGTTTCCAAAATTGAATGATAGAACGGGGATTGTGGGTGTGGAGTTTGAATAGAAGTGTGTAACATTACAGGGTGGAAAAGTTAGAGTTTAAGGGTTTAGAATATATTCCTATATATAAAGCAAGATGGAGGTGTTAGGGCAGTGGCTGCTCCTTCTTCTTCACCTTATTCTCCATGGGCCTTGGTGGTTTTGTGTAATTGGATAAAAAAGTCCACTTTGCAGGGCATGGGTGATTGGTTATTGGGTTAAAAGTAAAAATAATTTAAGTGTCATTTCTTAATTAGACTGTTTATCCTTAAAAGGCCTTGAGGAGAGAGAAATGGGGCTCCATTTTTAGTTTGTTACAATGAAGTGCTGCAGAATTCAGGGTTTGTGAGACTGTGACATAGATAAGAACTAATAAACATCTGAGTCTCAACAAGAAATACCATCTCACACATTTAATCCTGACCTTAGCAGAAAAAAGAAGCAAATAATCCACAGTGAGGGATTTATGGTTTTTTGATTTTTGCCTCCTTCTGTAGATCTTGTCCCTGAATTTGCTGAGATCAATAAGACAAACCCAAACTGTGTGGTTCTTGGAGATGCAGCAGAAAACTTCACCTATGCAAACCTGAACGAGGCTTTCCGACTTCTGATTGGGATGGAGAAGCCTGTTTTGATCTCCCTTGGAAAAGGGTGAGTTAAGCTCTGTTTTTTCCTCAAGTCTCTGCATTTTTTAATGACATCTTCAATAGAGGCCAGAAATCAGTGTGGGCACTCCCAGTACCAACCCCTCAGTTTTTAATCTGTGTGCCTGGATTGAGAATCTGATTTGATCAGGTGCCTGTCAATGAAGAGGACTTCTGGTGCTTTAAGAGAGCCTCAAACCCTCCGAGGACTTGTGGAGAGTTTGGATTTTAATGTGTGTGGCCCCCAAGTGAGTGAGTATTTAGTATCTCAGAGGTGAGAACTGTTGGTTTAACTACTGCCTGTAGCCACATGTTCCTCTCTGAACTGAATATAAATTATTTTTGATAGTGAAAGAAACCCAAAATTTCCACAGGCCATGCTTGGTAAAGAGCTGTTGGTGTAGGTTTGTGATGCAGTTTGATGCTTTTCAAATGGCAGATCAATTATTTTGGTAGTTTTAATATCAGACAGCATTTTTAATTATTCTCTGCCCATTAAGGGTAAATTTTGACCTCCTGTTTTCACACACAGGAAAAGATCCAGTCAGGGAATTGGAATGTTTTCCTGCAAATAATGAATTTAGAATTATTCTAAGATTTTAAACAGGATGTTATTAATTCCTGTGCTGAATAATGACAAATCCCAACAGGAATATCAGGAGTTATTCTTATCTGTTGTGTGATGCATGGGTTTAAAAGAGACTGTGCATGTTTATCTTGGGGAAAGTGCAGTGACAACTTTGCTCAGTGGTTCAATAGACTGTAATGGGCATGAAACCCTTCTTAGTTTGTGGGTTATTGATCCAGCTGGGCAGAACTTATCAGTGGGAAGGAGCAGTTAAATTCATTGTGCTGCCTTACCTGACACTAATCCTCCAACAGGGGTAAAAAATCCTTACTGTTTCTCAGAAGGATAAGAAGAAAATGTTGAGCCAACAGGAGAATGGCTAATGTACAGAAAATAATCAAATTTTGTGTTATGTAATACCATATTTCAAAATTAAATATGGAATCAACCTTTGCTTAGGAACTGTATTGTCATCAATGCAAAAATGCTTTGTACCCTGTACATGTAAAAGTATTTATTTGGTCATTCAGTGATAGAAACAGCTCTTTTCATTACTTCTTTAAAATATTACTTTTTGTTAAAAAATAAAGATTTTGGGATATTCAGAGCTCAGTTTTCACCAAGAGCATATTGGTTTTTAATGGCTGATCATTGAGGTAATGGGAATACAAGTTTTCTGCTGAGTTCTCTGACTCAGAGGAGGAAGATTTTAAATTATAAGAACTGTTCTCCTGACTGGAGCAGCCTCAAGGATGCAAAGGGCCATCTACAAAACCCAGCTTCATTTTCAACCTGCAGAACCAGCACAGCTGGGTGGACCTGAGCAAGGTGCCTTGGGCCAGCACCTTGGTTTTGGTAGAAGTTTTAGTTCATTCCATGGAAAACAAAAGTGTCAGAGTCACTGAAGCAGAATGCCCTGCTCCTGGAAATGGAGTGATTTACATTTAGCATCTGTTTTGGGCTGAGAGTGGGAATTGGCTTTGTAATTTCTTCTGTCATGCCACTGTCAGAAAATTAAGCTGTTTACAGCCAGACTATAGAAGGTTAATGGCTGTTCTAGCAAAGGTCAAGTGGTCATTTTAAAGGAAGGCTATGCTGAATAATCGAAAATGGCAGAAGGATAAGGCATAAAATCTTAGCTGACTGCTCATCCTACCCTTTTTCCTGTCATATAGAAACCTGATTTTGCTCTGCCCGGAGCTTGGAAGATCTGCATGAATGTGAATTGCTGTTCCAGAAAAACTCTCTAAAGACACCTTCTAATTCCATGAGCTTCATAACAATGGGAGCATTTTTAGAAGGAACAAAACTCAGCTTTGGAGGGCTTTTAGGCCTGATAGACAGGGTTTGCTGGTGTGGGAGGCTGAGGCAGCAGTGATGTCTGGGGTCTCCTTGCAGACACACTGAGGGGGTCCCAGCTGCTGGGCCAGGGCTCTGTGTCACTGCAGTAATGCACAGCCCAGTCCATCCTGCTCTGAGCACACTGAAACCCCTTTGAACCACTGAAGTTGTTCCCAGATGGGCATCTGGGATCCTTTCCCCAAGCATTGCACAGTCCTGAGCCTGTCCTTTCCTTAACTCCTGCTGTTAAACCAAGGCCTGGCATTTTCTGATCATTTGACTTTTTATGCAGCCATATGGACACCTATAAATGCACAGAAATAATAAAATGTAGTTTCTTTGTCTTTAACTGCCAACGTTTTCATTTCATGGGAACTTTATCACTTTCATTTCCAGACGCTACTATAAAGAAACTGATGGTCTGAAACTTGATGTTGGAGCATATATGAAGGCATTAGAGGTATTTTATAGCTGGAATTATGCTTACTCACCCTGTGCACCTTGTTAAAAGAGTAACTGGCATAAATATGGGTCATCTTCTGTAATTACTCACCTTGGTGGAGGGAGTTTCCACAAATTGAAACTCATTTGCTGCATTCTAAAGATGGGTGGATTCATTTCTTTTCTGCCTTTGGTTTTTTTTTTGGTTTTGGTTTTCTTGGTGGGTTTTTTTTTTGTTTCTTTCTTTTTTTTTTTTTTTGTTTAAATTTGTTTTATTTAAACTGTGAGCTTTTCCCATTGTGGTGCCTTTATTGCAAGTGAGGCCCTTGAAAGGAGGAGTCAGACAAGAAAAAAGTGGAATACTGTGTGCAAGATACCCAGGAAAACATGAAGAAGGTCCACGTTACCTGTTAGGCTTTTGTCTAGGAACAAGCAAGAAACAATTTATTTCAGCATAGCACTGATATTTAGTTGCAGGAAAATGTAACTTGTAAACTCTGCTTTTTCAAATGCAACTTTTCAAAACCCGAATTTGAAATTGGATTTTTCACTTCAATCATTGAAATCATGCCAGGTGGTTGAAGAAATCCTCTATATCTTTTAAAAGCTCTCCAGTACTTTTGACAGTTTTGTATAAAGGATATTTGTTACATCTCTAATAGAGATGACCGTAACAAAATGAGCACTACTGGAACAGAATTTGAAGTTTACTCAATAATGGAGAATATGAAAGATTTGTACCTTGAGGTGTTCAAGAGCATTTCCTGCCAGAAAACTTTAAACATTTCTGTTATCCAAATTCTCTGGTATTTATCTTCACATGCTAATCCATTTATTTAAGGGCAAAAATCGATAATCACAAAGGTTTTACAACTGGAGTTACGGAGTTGAACAAATCCTTTTCCAATCAGCATTTTTTTTGTTTCTCTCTCTTTTTTTTTCCAGTATGCTTGTGATGTGCAGGCTGAGGTGGTGGGGAAACCAGCAAAAACGTTTTTTGAGTCAGCCCTGGCAGAACTGGGAGTTCCACCAGAGCAGGTAAGGTTGAGGTGCCGTGCCCACGGGCTGTGCCACATATTTGTGCCCACTGGTGCTTTTTTCCTGCTTTTCTGTAGCTTTGAAAAGTTTGTGATTTCTCTCAAAGGAGAATGTGACCAGAACTCAATGCCTGGCAGAGGGAAAAAAGGTGCCCTAATGCCTGGCAGTCTGCTTGGAGACTGGTGGCTGCAGGGTGATGGAATTGATCCCAAAATGTAATTTATTTCCTGTGCTGCCACACTGACTACCTTTTTTTTTTTTTAGTAAAAGGGAAAGGCAGATGTAAAATATTTTATCATTTTGGTGAACAGGAAGCACTGACTGACCCCAAAACCCCCTCCTGTAATTCTGGCTTTTCAGAAACATGCTGAATGTGTGGTGCTTCCTCAGCCCATTTTCCCCCTCTCTGTAGTTGTTCCCCGCTCCTCTTTATTGATTTGTTGTTCTGTCACACAGGACATAGGGATGAGTATGAGAAGCCTCACAAACAGCAGTGAATTACAGCACAGTAATTCCATCAGGGGAGTTTGGGTGACATTATAAACAACAGGAGTGAAGTTTGGGGTGGCTTGTAGGTCCCTGGAGCCTGGAGATGAAATTATGGCCCTGTAATTCAGCATGTGCTTGGGTTTTGCTTTATTATAGAGTGGGGAGATGGAAAAGACCTAGTGGGCCATCTAATCCATCTCCTTCCCCATGCAGGAATGTTCCCTGCTCCACAGTTATTAATATTTTGTCCACAGTAGTTTTCAGAGAGCCAAACAACTGTCAGTGCCCTGGGGATGGTGTTCAGCACAGTGGGTCTGGGGGGAAGGCAGCTCTTCCTGAGATTTATCAGGATATTTCCCTTTTAAACTGCCTCTTTTTATTTCTAGTTTTATTCTAGTTAACTACCAAAATAACTGCTTGAACATTTTCTCCATACAGTTATCTCTAGACTTACTATCATTGCAGAGTTTTGTTTTTTTTACTAAAGCTGTGGTTTTAGTGCTGCTGCTTTTTTCTGTGCTCCCTTCAGTCTGTCCATGTCTCCCCAGGAATAAGATAACCCAGTCTGGACTATCCCTGGGACATGCCAGGTGCAGAACTGCTGTTTCTAAATCCTTGCCCCAGGAAACAAATCTGATTTAAAGCAACACCAGGCTGGCAAAAATGGTCCCATGGGGTGAGCCCTAGGGAGTGGTTCCCACCAGCTTCAGGAATATTTGTTTTGGGTACAGAAGAGCAGGAATAGTCCCCAGCAAAGGTTATTTACTCATTCTCTGCTGTTTGCCGTGTCTGCTACTCGTGCCTCACTTTGTATTTTGTCAGAGTTTTGGCTTTTTATCCATATTGTTTCTAATGCTAAATGCCATCAATGTGTTGCAGTGATATGTCTAGTTTGTAGGTGTAATATTTTATATTTAGAGAGTTTGGAAGTGAAGGGAGTGTGTTCCTAACCAAGGAGGAGTGCAGCAGACACCAGTGGATAATGGCACCAGTCACTCCGTGCTTTCCACCATGGAAACCATAATCCACACTACTGGATCATAATTCACACATGTGTAGGAAGAACAAATTCCAAACAAGCAAACTGCTTTAATTCTGGCATCTTTTCCTAACTTTTGAGTACTTGACCTTGTGACTTTAATGTATTTTTGGAGAAGGATTTGCAGGTTAGTTTAGTTCATGGTACACAGTAATAAAACCTCATTATTTTCAGTTTAAAACTTCAGTATAGTCACTTCAGTAAGTTCCTGTAATGCACTGCATTACATTTTAATCTGTCTCCTGGTTGAATTCTGCATTTGTAGAGACATGACAGGGGCTGGTTTTACTTTCCTTTGCTTTTACGAAATGTTTATTCCAATAATTTATTCCACCTGTGGAATGCATTTAATCCACACCATCATTAAACCATTTTAGATGAGCTGTGCTTTTGAAAACATACTACAATTTTCCTTCACTTGGCTTTTAATGAAAAATACCTTTTTAATAAAGCTGTCTCACCACAGTAATTCGAGACAGTGGCAATTCTGAAATTCCTCAAGCTGCTTTAATCAATAAAGTTATCACCAGTCATTTCCCTTGATAACTGCTTCTTACTGAGACCCTGACTTTGCCTTCTGCTGCTGAGATGTTTTCAGCCTGCACTTAGAATAAGAGGAACTCCCTAAAGTCCAATTTTCATTTTAACCTTTCCTCAATGGCCTAGAAATAACAGATTGCCAGTATTACTTTAATAGATTGGAAATTTAAACCTCTTAGAGGTAACCAGAGCTATCTTACAATTCAGTGCTCTGACAAAGAATAACACATCTTAAAGGTTACTGAAATGTCTAATTCACGTGTTTTAAGGCAGCTGTTAACAGTGGATGGTTTTTACAGCTTTACAATAAAACCTAAATAATGTTAAGGTTCTGGTAGTTTTATATAATCATAAAAAGTTCTCTCTGTAGCAAATTATCCTGCTTTAATGGGAGTTATGGCAGGTCATACAGGAGTCCATAAACTACTGGTAGTTAAGCAATTCCCTTTCCGGCCACCTGCAAGCCTCAGGTGGGAGTTAGTGGTGCATGAGAGCAGAGAGAGGTCACCCAGGGGTGGCACAGGGGACCTGCTCCTGGGCCAGTGTCCCCTCCCTGCCCACCAGCTACAACAGATCTTCCATCCCAAAATAAAACTTTCTGGCCCTGCACATTTGGAGTTCCTAAGGTAGAAACAAAATTAACAGTGATGTGGGATCCTGGGGCCTGGGATATTATTCCTTGTGTGAGGGAGGACAGGGAGAAGAGTAAATGTGTTGTGTTTCTTGTGTAAAGGGATTTAATAAGTCAGGGCTTGGTGTATAAGCTTTATTTCCTTATGGTCCTGCCACATTTAACTTGATGAAGGTTATTAAATCTACAGCAAAAAATTTGTTCAGGCATAAATATGTCTGATTCTAGAAGTATTCTCTGTGCTAAATATTCTGGTGGAGTTAGCACACTGCCTTCTGTGCATCTCTGTTTGCATTCTGCATGGGCTCCAGCCTCCAAAGCCCTCCATCTGAGGGCTGGCTGAATCAGGGTATTCTCATCTTTCTACCTCCTTCATTTCCTTACTCTGTAATTCCTTTTCTGATCAGACATTTTCCCATGAACAGTTACTGAATGCTGAAACTCTGTTTGCAGGCAAAACCCACCTGAGGTTCCCCCTCACCACCCCAACAGCACCTCCAAAGATTTAGTGGCTTTGGCTGCTCAGGGTCTGTGCCACAGCACCAGTGGCATTGCTGACTGTGGGGATTATATTTTGCCTTTCCACCCCAAATTCCTGGGGGTTGTGTTGATCTCCTCTGTTCTCTCTGCCCCTCTGGGCTGAGTCTGGTGGGAACCCTTTGAGAGCAGTGTTTTCCCTCAGCTTTGGCACATGTGCTTTATTTGCTGTGTGTGTACAGCCACACAGCGCCTCTCACCATCTTAGGGAAATAGAAATTACACCCATCCTTCTTTGAGGATTTGTCTTAAAACACAGAGACTCACTGCATTTTTTTCCCTTCTTTTTAGTTAATTTGTAGCCAATCTAAAAAAAAAAAAAAGTAACTTTTGCAGAAGGATTGAACAGATTAGTGGTGTGATCCCTGTGTAAAATGTGAACAGGAATGGAGATCTTTTAATTCCTGCTTTCAGTGGCTATATGACCTTTCAGTTTTATATCTTTCTCTCTCTTCTTACCATATTGCAGTCAGAGAGGAAGTTAAACCCAGGTTTGACAGGTAGAGTTTTTTTATTTCCCTTGACAGCGCACCTTTTGACCTCTATCTTCTTGCCAATGATTTTTTTAAATCCTAAATGATTTTGGAATAATTGCTCCTCCTTTAGTGATTATTGCCCTTCACTGATAGTAAATCTGTGAAATCCCTGGGGGCTGGAGCACATTTTTGTATGCGTGTGCCACAAGCTGGCCTGGACAGGCATCGCTGCTCAGCTGCAGCTGCACTTCCAGAGCTGCCAGAGTCTTGCAGGAAAACTTCCCTGGATGGGGTAAAATACAGCCCTGGCAAGCAGCAGAGTGCTTGGTTGGAGAGGCTGCCCTGCTCTGCCCTTTTCCTTTGTCAGAGGAAATTCTTTTTAGGGTTATTAGGACACAGGACTGAAATTGCCTTTACATCCCGAATGTTGGGATTTGGGCTGAGCAAGGGCATACAGGTGGTGCAGGTCTGTTCCCTCTTACCCTCAGGGAGGTGTTGGAAGGAATTTTGTAAGAAAAAAAATTATAATTTCTTAAAGCCAATGGTTGAGAGTGATTAAATATCCTGGAGCAGCTTGGGGGGAATTGGTAGTGGTGTTGCCAGGTTCTTGCAGCTCTCCATGCAACAGTGGGGTTACTCTTTTCCTTATCCACATTTACATGCTTCATTTCCTAATTACTTAAATCTAACCCATCATTTTCTCCCCATTTCATGCTGAGTTGCTGGTTTGGAAGAGCACTAAGGAAAGGTGAACTATCTACAGGAGAAGCTGTCCCAGATTTACATGTTTGTAGCTCAGTTTGGTTTATGAAACCTCTCAGAAAATTTAGGTTTATCCTGAGATTTCTTTTACATGCAATACAGTATGTGGGAGAAGATCCTGTTGCAATTAGATAATTAATAAAAATAGCTCTGGAGGTTTAGTATTTTTATTCTTTCTCAAGCAAACAGAGCTGGGGAAGGGATGGAAATACAGGCAGTAATGCCTGGAGCTGGAAGGTACCATGGTTGTGAAAGCCAGGCAGTTAAATTTATGAAGTTGATCTAAAAGATGAAAATAAAATAGTTAAAGATGCAGCTTACACTGTATTAGACAAAATTCAACTTTAATGCAAAAGGTAAAAATATCTGATTGATAAAGTGCATTACAGACTTTCAAATCTGTGCTCCCCCAGTTTTAGGTGCTGCCTCTGCTCTCTGCAGAATAGTCCAGAACACCTTTGGGAGGTGTAAAGCTGATTTTTTGTATCATTAATGGAAAACTGCAGTTTTATATATATACTGGGTTTTGTTGAAACTATAAAATGCCATTCCCCCAGTAATTTTAAATTTGAAGAATAGAATAAATACAGTAATTTTTAATGCAGGATAATAAGCACTTGAAATTTTGATGATGCAGTTGTCAACAGAAAGGACCCCTTGGTTGATGCACTCTGATCTAATAAATATCTTTAACAGAGGCAGAAAGGTGTTCTGTGCACTCTTTTTATCAAGCACCAGCCAAATTTTAGCACAACCAGTTACTTTTTTGCTAATCTACTCACTTTTGTTTATTAATATTGGCATATAATTAAACTAATGATAACACAAACGGTGCTAGGCCTGTACACATTGTCATACTGTGCAAAAATTAATAAATTCCATTTTACAGTAACTTCCTAAATTTCTTTATCAACCTGGGAACATGCTGGGGATCAAGCTCTCAGTGATTACAAGCTTAAGCTTTTGACCAGCCTGTAGAACACCAGATTTAAGAAGTTAAGCTTAATTTAAGCTGCTTGGAGCGTAGCAGGAATGGATTGTTAAGAAGAGAAGAGGCCTAACTTCATAAAACTCACAATTTTCTTTCAGCTGTGCCCCAAATCCCTTTGATTTCGGTGATTGATTACAAATTGTACAGGTGTGTGCTGTGCCAGTGCACTGCTGGAGGAGCTCTGGCATGAATTACCCTCAGCGTAGGGTGACTTTTAATCAATACGATGACAATATTATCGTGTTTAATTTGTCCAGTGGCAGCATTAGACCTCAAATCAAGCTGTTTGTTATGTCAGGGGAGGGTGAGAAATGGCAGAAATGAACTTTTGCTGTATTTCACTGCCCTGACAGGCCATCATGATCGGGGATGACATCGTGAATGATGTTGGGGGAGCGCAGCAGTGTGGGATGAGAGCGCTGCAGGTGCGGACGGGCAAGTACAGGTCAGTGCTCACCCTGCACATCCAGGTCACAGCCACCAGGCCAGGCTTTTCCATGCCTTTTTCCCACCCTTTCCCCTTGCTGTCAGTGCAGGTTTGCATTTGTTGTCTGCCCAAGCACCTCCTTGTGCAGCACAGACTCGGGTGGATGGTGATATTTTCTTTTAGGAAAACACTGTGTGAAAATAGCAGGAAGGGGAAGACAGAGTATCTTTGATCTTTGAAGAAATACTTTCTGCTAAATTCTTGCTGTGTTTTTTTTCATCACACCGCATAGAACTGGTGTATTTCCTGGGGTTTGCTTATTTTTTTCCTGCTGCTGCATGGAAGCGTTGTACACGTGATACAAGAACGTGTCTGAAACCTTTGGCAGGGCTGGGATTATAAAATTAGACTGTTGACTCAGTCATCCCTGTGGGTCATCTCTCACAGCTTTAGGAAGGGCTCCATATGTCTGCCCTTCCCTCCAGACACATATTCAGCCCTGAGGTGTCTGAAACACAAGAGCTGCTTCCCCAGAACTTCCCAGCGTGCAGGGTCCTGTAGGGTCGCTCGTGGCTCCAAATGCAAACCCCTCCTTGTGCAGCTGTCCCCAGGACCCTGTGCTCTCACTGAGCTGTCACAGGGCCAGCTGCTGAGGGGGACACAGAGTGCACCTCTAAACAGGACATGACCCAGTGCTGAGCAGGTTGGGTTTGAGGCCAGCTCAAGGTGACTTCAAATGCAGTGCAGAGATCTGTCCCTCCATTTGACATTCTGATCCCAACACCCAAAATCTCATTTTAACCCTCTCCCCTTACCCAGAACCATGCCTCCTTGTAGTATGGTTCAGCCACACCCTTTGTCATCTGATGTCATTTGTATTTTCACAGTTTTTCTTCACTTTCAAATCCTGAGATTGTAAAAGAAGGATGCCCCTTTGGGGAGGGGTACAGCACATAAAAATTATGCTTGCCATAAACTATCTGAAAAGTTATTTTGCTTATTTTCAAGTCAATCTGTTCCTAAATTTTCCTTTCTAGTTTGTGTAAGGTGATAAAATAATACCCTGTGCCTTAATTCTAATGGACCAGTAGGTGATGGTTTCTGAGGAAAAAAAGATACAAGTGTATTGTGTTTTCTATAACTTTAAGATAGTACATCTAAAAATTAAATATGCATCTGATTAAAGCTTGGGAAATCCCAAAGATTAAAAAAGCAATTATATTGTCTGTGCTTTTGGAATTATTTGTCTGTAATCTTTGTAGTCCCAGGAGCTGGACTTGATGATCCATGCAGGTCCCTTCCAACTCAGGACCTTTGTGACTCTAATCTCATTAGGTTCCTAATGGAGAAAATAAGGATTCAGTGGTTCATTTTATTCTCATATTAATGAGAATAATTTGCAAATCCACATTTTGTTGCTACACAGATACAGGTGCCAGTGCAGAATGTATCTTTGCACACAAAGGTGAATTAGGTTTTTGCTGCTGACCAGAACTCTCCTGTTCCATGCTTTACCCACCATAAAATGTTCCCCAGGTGATGTTGCACCCACACTGTTCAGGCAGCTGGCACAAATTCTGTGTACACAAACACACATAAATATGTATAATCACATGCTCAAAAGGCATTTTCTTGTGTCAAGTTTGAGTCATGAATTCACAGCTGAAAGGGAGTAGCCAGCTGTCCTAGATGGGGAACAAGGATTGTGTTTCCTGTTTCAGTGTGTGGCTGGGGCTTTCTCAACTCGGGCACTATTGCAGAGCAGTGAAATAGAGATTAGTGTCTCTCTCAATTCCCCATCAGGCCTGCCGTCAGCAGCTGGGAGTAAAATGAAGTAACTCCTCTTTGCCAGGAGAGGTCAGAGGTGTATCTCTATTTTAAAGAATGACTTATTTTGTATACTTAGAAAATCAAGGCCCACGGTGAGGAGAGACAGAAAATAAACAAGCAATGGGCAGGATAAATTGAAAATAAACACAATGTAATTATTTGGTGGTGAGGTTAGTTTAAAATCTGATAGATAAGATACACAAAGGTGCTGTTTTTGCCTTTAGCCTTTGATGACAGAGTTCTGTGCTGCACCCGGGAACCTGTGGATGGCATCATTGGCTCGTGTGTCACTGTCAGCCACAGCCTGGGGCTTCCCCACCATCCTGGGCTGTTTGTCCAAAAGTCTTGCAAAGCACAAAGCTCTCAGGGTTTTGCTTTGCTCTCAGGGTGTGGTGGGATTGCCCCAGGTTTCAATAACAGCACCACTGAATGGTTTGGGTTGGGGTTGTCCCCCTCCTTCCTCACCCAGAGGATGTCCCCAGCTGGCATTGTCACCTCCAGTGCACAAAGGTGCTCGGGCAGCTCTCCTGCTTTCAGGGCTCAATGCAGTTTGCACGAACATTTTAGGGAAAGGTTCTTCCCCCAGAGGGTGCTGGGGCACTGCTCAGGCCCCTCAGGTCATGGGCACAGCCCTGAGGCTGCCAGAGCTCCAGGAGGCTTTGGACAATGCTCTCAGGCACAGGGTGGGATTGTTGGGGTGTCTGTGCAGGGCCAGGAGCTGCACTGATGATCCCTGTGGGATCTTCCAGCTCAGGATACTCTGATTCTACAGTTCTGTGGTTTTTAAGGTCTGCTGCCCACCCAGGTTATGCAGGGATGTGCCCTGGGGTTGCCACCTCCCCAGGCTCTCACCCTCCTGCAAAGTCTCTCCACTGTTGGCTGCTCCCAGTGTGTGGTTCAAAATATGGATTAAACTTTCAGGTTTTTTACCACCTTGAATGGAATCCTGCAAGTTGGCTCCTTTGTCTTGCTTCTCTTGGATCTTTAAAATCAATTAAAATCTGTGCAGCCTGTTTCCTTCAGAATGACACACTTTGCCTCTTCCCCCTCCATCTCAAGTGTTGAACTCTTCCTCAGTAGCCAAAGCAGGTATGGCATAGATCAGTGCAAGAAAAGCCATAAATCCTGTTTGCAGCTAAAACTTCTGTGGGCACAGATCAGGGCCAGAGTTGGGAAGGTGAGGGGATAAGATTGGTGTGTTGGGGTGACCTGACACAGGTGAAGAGCTTTGGCCAAGTCTAGCCTTGCCTAGGTGCAAATTCCAGATGCAAAGGGGCAGTCTGGGCTGCAGGTTTCTCCTCTCTGTTTGTCCCATGTCCAGGACAGATCAGGCCATTGCTGCAGGCTCCTGAGGGCTGTGAGATTTATCAGCATTGCAAAATGTGATGCCAGTTCCAGAATTTCTGTGCACACCTGGCCAACATCTTTCCCATCTAGGGAAGAACGTGTTCTTGTCTTCCAGCTCAGGGTATGTGCTAATTCCACGTGCAGCTAATTGGCCTTGACATCAAACCAATGATTCCCACAATAACTATTGATTCTGCAATGCTGTGTAATATCCTCATTCCTTTTTGTAGCCTGCAAGTTAGAGCAGAGAAAAATGACTTTGAGGCTTTTCCAAGTGTCTCCCTGTACCTCTGGAAACAGCTTCCAGGTGCATCAGATCGCAGCTGGATCTTGGCAGGGGGTGAGGATTGCTTCCCCCTTTCTCCTTGTTGTTATTTACAGGTCTTGATTTGTAAATAATGAACTTTCCATTGCTGGTGTGTGTCAGCAGCCAGGAATATTCATGGCAGCACTGCCCCTGCTCACCTGTGAGCTCTGGGCTGGCTTTGGAATGTGGCAGTGTGGATTCATCCCCTCTCAGTGCCCACCTGGGGTTTCCTTGCTTTGATTTGGGGTTTATCTGATGGCCATGGCTGATACTGACAGCAGAGTCAACATCCCTGAGCTGCCTCATTACAGACATCAAGGATTCCCCAGGGATGGAGGCCCTGAGAGCTGCCAGCTCTGCCACTCTTCTCCAGAACTGGGTCAAGTTACTTCATATGTCCCTACTTTTTAATTATCCTCTAAGAATAATTACCCTGACTTCCTTAATAAAGTGGCTTGTGATCTGTTCCTCTTGCCTGATTAAAGAAAAACACCCAGAATTTGTAGTAAATTGGCTTTCCAGGAGAGAAATCAAAACGTGACCAGTACAAAAGTTGGGACAGAGAAGTCTTTTAGGCTGACTAAGGATTGGGAAAAACAGATTGTGTCATTAAATGAAGTTGTGAAAGTATTCTTAAAAAACATTCCACACGTGGATAAATTCAGTGCTGTGTAATTCAGTGAAACTCATGACAACTTCTGTGAAGAAATAGTCACCTCTTGCTGCTCTGCAGGGAAGGAGCATCCCTCCACCCTCCCTTTCCTGCTCCCTGTGTTACCATCCCTGCCAAGATGAACAATTTTATGAGTTTTTTTCCCATCTCCTGGGTACCAGCAGTGTGGTAATGAGAGCAAGCAGGCAGAGGCACTCCCTTTGTGCAGAAACACAACCAGAGGCATTTTGAGGGCCTCACATCCTGATAATTAAGCCTGTTTCAAGTATTAAATGGAAAGAGTTCCAACCCATATTTGCACTGTGAAAAGTTGTATTGTAATTCATGTCGGTTAATGTCTTAAGCAATGTTTATTAAAGCTGATGTCAGTGAGTTGGTTGTGATAGCTGATTGCAGGCAGGCCCAAGGCATAGCCTTATCACCCTTTATTGCATATTGAAATTATGGTTTGCTCTGTCCATGAGAGGATCTTCACATGTTTTTATTAATTTCTTGACCACAATTTGGTTGCCATAATATTTGAATCAGCTTTGTAGAGGAAGCTCAGAGTAAATCCTGCAGTGCCTTAGCTTGCACATCTGATCACAGCCTTCCACCTTCCCAGTACATTCCAGTGTCCAGTCTCAGAAATTACTAACTCATGCATTAATTTAATTCTCTTCAGTCTAAAAGAGAAGTGTGAGTTTGAGAGGGGGTTATTAGCAAGTTATTTATTTACTGGTAGCATAATAAACCTTGAGGGGGCAGTGTGTGCTCATGTGCTGCTCTGAAAAAAATCAGCCTGAATATCAGAAAAGAGATCAATCTGCAATGAGAGTAGGATAAATAAAGAAGGAATGGATCAGGTGAGTGAGGAAGAGC